TAATTATTAAACAAAACTATTAAATTTAAACTAGGCAAACGTGCATTGCACGTTGCTTGCACCTAGTATTATTTATAAGTTACAACTCATTGTATGGTAACAAATTATCTAATTAATTGGTCACAACTTATTTCATGATCACAAATTATCAAACTAATTTTTCACAATTTATTTATCGTTCACAAAGTCACAAATTTTATGTTACAATTACAAATTTAGTCACAAGTCACATATTTTTATGTCACTTATTATTTATTAGTCATAAATTATTCGTTTTATTGATCACAATGACTCAATAATTGATCATAATCTTCATCCCATCCATTCCACCCCATAACCACTGGTACCACCAACAAATATTGATATCACCTCATCACTACCACCAAGTAATATTGATGTCACCTCATCACCACCACCACCACCACCACCACCATAATGCAGATTTGTACCCAAAATGCTAATGACACTTCGCTACTACCACTACACAGATATATACCTCCACCACACCACTGAAAGCTAAAGAGTAGCAAACTAAGAGGGAGTGAAAAAATTGGTTTTTAAAACTTTTTTTAAAAATTAATTCACGTCCTTCGTTACCAAGCTCTCCGACACGAGCAATGCCAATTTCACTATGTTGATTGACTTGTAGTGCAATCCAACCCTTTACAATGCTTCCAGTGACTTACAAACAAGGAACATCGATTCTTATACAACGTTGAGCTTTACGGGACCTCAACACGACCCACAAGTTTTAAAGAAATTGATTTTACAAATGAAATATCTCTCTTAATAAATGATATGATCACAATTAAGTACCAAGAGAGAAATAGGCTAACACTTTAATAGATAGCAATGAATGAAACTCAAGTGTTAGGTATGAAAAACTTTAATGCGTAAAATGATTTTCAAAAGTTAATTTGATCAAAAAATTTTTAAAGCTAAAATAATTTGATAATAATGAATGAGATGAGAAATCAATATAATTTTCCTAAAAATATCTCACTTGAATGCTCTTTAATTGTGTAATGAATGACAAGTGATTTGATGTCTATAGCAGTTGAAAAATGTCAAAAACTCTGCCAACCGGACTATATCCCGATGTTCGGCACTGTTCCGGATGAATGAACAGGACGTTCGGATGGATCGAATTTTTTCGGCTCCTTTTGTTTGTTTGTTTGAAACAATGTAGGCTTATAAATGATATTTTTTATTTGATTTTTACAAGGTAAGTGATGCTAGTAGGTTTGAAAATTAAATTGAAATTCTTACATTTGAAAAATGAATTTTGTGCAAACTTTTTTACGAAGTAAATTTTTCTTGTGCATAAAAATTAAGTACTTGAGCTTCTAATGAGTCATTGTTAAGGATTAAAGTATTTTACCTTTACAAATGAGTTCAAACATCTAGTTCTACTATCTTCAATTGATTTGGTGCGAGTACTTGATTTGTTGCTCTATTTTCAATTGACACGAGTGCTCGATTTGTCTCCGATTGTAAATGCTCGAATCCATCTTAAATTTCTTGATCGTTAGCTGCAAGTCTTTTGATAACAATTTTTTTGTCTCCAATTTGAACGACATGCAACAATAATGACTCAATACAAATGTTAGAGATAAAACTACTTTGTTTGTTATAATTTATATATAAGATCAACCATATGTCAACAATTTCCCCTTTTTGATTATGATAAACAAAATATAGATCAAGCATTCATTTGATATNTAGAGATAAAACTACTTTGTTTGTTATAATTTAAATATAAGATCAACCATATGTCAACAATTTCCCCTTTTTGATTATGACAAACAAAATATAGATCAAGCATTCATTTGATATTGTTCCCCCTTTCTTATATAGCCCAAGCATGCATATCAACGTTATATATATGTTTCCTTTTGGCATAAGAAAAAAGAATACGAAGTAACGAATTCATGTATTGAAATCAACCATAGGCATAAATGATAGCATGAAATAACCAAACGAAAACTCATAATATCTAAAACCATTCAAAGTATAATATCCAAAAAATCCAAAATCGCATAATATCCAAAGCATAAGGAATTATTTATCGTAAGATAAACAATATCCATCGAAATATATGACTACGGCTCCTGAGGAGAGTGGGCATAGAAATGGGCGTAGAAGGCATTCTACTGAGCCTGCATTGCCGCATGTTGTGCTTGAATGGCATCTTGTTGAACTTGTATAGCGGCCTGCTGAACTTGCAACTCTCAAAGCATTCCATTAAGGCCATCGACTGATGATGTAAAAGAATCGATGCCGGCTATTGAGAAGATTGTAGTGATCATCGGTAAACGTGAAGCCACCGCCCGAAGATCGATGGATACTGGAGCCCGAAATGTCGTGAGGAGGAATAGGAGCTTTCGGTACGTCATCATTATCTCCCTCAAAGGGTAGAGTCGAAGGACCTGAGGTGGGGTCGAACCCCTTAGTATGTGCCACCTACTGACCATATTCTTCAGTAATTTTCATATGTTTAATTATTTGAATGTTTATAGTGTCGGTAGGTTGAAGTTGGACAAATGTCTCATCATCTAAAGAAACGTTGAAGTGTTTAAAAAATTTCGTGAGAAGCATGTCATATGGTAAAGTTTTAACGTGACATGAGGAATGGACAAGCTTCATGAGACTTAATGCAATGATGGGAAAATCAAGTTTCCTATCGACAAGAAAAGAGATCAAAAGAGCTCACTTAATCTCGATGACCCTTTCGTGGTAGGATAACATTTGTAATGATATTTTGTAAAACTTTGCATGGAAGAGTCAATTGATGTGCACTAAATTTTGTGATATTTTCAAAATTTTTCTTGGTGACTCGACAACAAGCCTCAGTAGGATTATAGCCATCTAAAGTGGGATGTGCCTTGTGAAGAAAAATTTGTGTTTCACACACCTCAAGTTCTAAAATGTGAAGAATAAGAGCTTTGTTGATGACAATGAGCCGTGGGTATGTATGTTCTTCTAAGGTGGCAATTGAAATCCAACCCATATTTTCAAAAAATTCTTCTATATGGAATGTAGGAGCTTCAAAAGTAAAATCCGCAAAATCAATATTTTTACCTATGAAGATTGGGGATTTTTCGAATGGCCGGCACCTTGGGTTCTAAATAGAACTCTTTGTCGGATGAAGATGGAGGAGATCGCCCTATCGTGCTCTTGACTTTTTTGTCCGCTCTTCTAGACCTCGACATTGTAGAAATTTGATGAGGAAGGGAAGAAATGGATGGGTTTGGACTTTGGGAAAAGTGAGATTTGGTGGATGAAAATTTGAAATTTTTGGAGATGGATGATGTAGAAGTAATGGGTTTAATCAAATTGATAGGAAATTGAAGAGTGGAGTGAAGCATAAAAGGATTTAGAGTGGGTTTAGGGAGAAAAATGAGAGAAAAATGGAGAAGAAGTGAAAAAAGGTTTGGTCCGGGATTTAAGATTTGATTTTCGCAGAATCGGACGTCCATTTCTCCTATCCGGACATCCGGATTGGCATAACCTTTGAAGGTTCTGCCAAACAGGACAAGTTGTCTGGACGGTCCGTTTCATTCTCGACGTCCAATTTTATAGTCCGGATGCCCCTCCTTTTTTAAATAAAACATATTAGATCACATAAATATGGTGCACATGAAATAATGAAAATAAAACATATAGTAAGAATTTAACTTAGTCATGCACTTCAAATTCATCAATAATGCCCAAACCTCTTCCAATATGTGAGAACCAGTCAAGAGCTAGAGGTT